GGCTCTTTCTGAGCAGCAATGTGCACTCAAAACTTGAATGATGAAACAAATGGAAACCTTTGAGGCTGAAAAATGACAAAAACGCGTCAGGACTCAAAGTACTGCTGTTCCTTCAACAACCGGCTCCAAATGTGAGTCTTTTCCCATAAACCCCCATGTTTAAATGTCCAATTTTAGAGCAGAATTAAACATGCTTACAGCCTGGAACAAAAACAAGGTTTTGGTCTTTGGCTTGTTATATATGATGTTAACATTAATTTATCTTTAAGCATCTTTTGTTTAACTCTGTGTGTTGAATACCAATTGTTGGTAAGGTTTGGAAAAGAGTTACCATCAGGCTGACAAAGAAAAGCAGGAAGTGAAACAGTGCAGATGATATCATCAGTGTGATGGCTGCTCTCTGAAGCATGGATTTACTGTTAAAAGTAAGTGAAATTGATACATGTAGGGCTGTAAGTACTTGGACATTGACTCGATTTTTGTCATTTTTCCCATTTATACCTCCACATTGGATTTAAAATCATGCAATAGGTGATTGAGTAACTGAAAAGATCGGATCAGATCAGCAGTTATTGTCTCGCTTGGGAGAAATTTATCTTGGACAAAGAGGGGAAACACGTCATATAAGATAGCACACATACATTCACAGTTTCACCAAAAGCCCGCTCTACTGGTTGGATGTCAGGTTTCTGACTTGGCCATTGAAGAATATCCCATTTCTTTGTACCGAGAAACTCTTGGGTTGCTTTTGCAGCAGGATTTGGGTCATTATCCTTTTTCCCCACGAAGCACTATGAGATAGGTTTTGCACAAAACTTTTTTAATTTTGTGCAACACATTTTAAAAACTGGAATGTTAATGTAATTATGTTAAAAAAATACACATACTCTGTTCTGGGTGGACTCTGTGATTACTTTTCTTTTACATGCTGTGAGAAGTGACCAGCCTGATGAGTGAAAGTCTTCCTTGTGGAAGTAGGTTTTCCAACCATCTTTTAAACAAGGCATTTCACACCATGATGCAACTGCATTCTGGCAGAGAAAAGCCCCTCAAGCTGCGCCTTAAAAGTGGCAACAGATATGAGAGCTAGAGCCCAGGAACAGAAGGGCTTCACCCACAGTTTGAGCAACCACACAGCCGGCCCAGCTCTTCACCTGAAAAAGAAACCAGCAGAGGGATAATGGTATGATTTGCTATGCAGTTAATTGCACTAATCCAAAACCAAGAAGCTTTTTTTGCTAAATAAAATTCTAGTATTTTATTTGGATGTTACATAGCAATAATTCAGTATAAGAATACTTTATTAATCCCGAGGAAATTATGTAGTGGTTGTGGTGCTTGTGTGATGCACCCATATTGTGTAAAAATGCAGTTTACTTAAAAAATAGATAGTGCTAGTTGATAACTTAGATTTCCACTCATTATACTAAATGTGGTCACGTCTCTCTTAATAAAGAAAGAAATAATCGTGGCAGCAGCCCAGCAAATTGAGACTTCAAAATGTGAGTCCACAAAACAATTGATGGCCCAGTGGCTAAATCAATGTTTTATATACAGTCTGTTGGTGACTCACCAAGCCACCTTACAATATTGTATTTCTGAATTTGATATTGACCTATAAAAATGTCCCCTCACTACAAATATTAACGAGAAAATAACATACTACACGAAAACCGTAGCCATACAACCTTAAACCACCATTTAACAGCGGTGTGCGATATTTACAGACAGGCAAGCAAGTGCTTCCTCCTCTCACAACCAAATAAGTAAATAAATAATAAAATGAAATAAACTGTTCCTTATATTCTCCAGTCTTTAAAAAGAAAAATTGGTTAGATATTTCCTATATTAGTAGACAATGCCGAGTGGTGGATAATTTTTTTAGAACCACTGCTTTAGCAATAAAACACTATGCAAACACTAGGCCATATGTAAGAATAAGATACCACCCTTTCAACTCATTCATAATAGTGACTGCCACATCTTATTGGACTATTGAACTTCACACGTAATGGGCATGAGACTTTAAAAAAAAGCTTTCTGTCGTGCTTTAGAAGGTTAAAATATGTTTTTATGCATAATTAGTGACATTTGGTAAAGAACAGAAGAGGTACACATATGAAGCGATATTTATTCTTCCTCTGAGCCCCCAGCAGCATTATAAACACCCTCTAGTGTCTGGATGTGGAATACTGCTGTATAATAACCAAAATTTATGATAGTTAAAAAATTGTTTTTTTGAAAAAAGTCAACTTTGGTTTAATATTTAACTTAATTAATTCGTTTATTCTCATTCTAATCTTACGGATAAAACTAGAAACAAAAGTACAGCTCCATTCAGTATTTTCCAATGACACCACAAAAATGGTTTGCCTTTACCATTTGACTCAGGTAAGGTTTCTGTTAAAAAACAACTAATGGTGTCATCGTGCCCTCTAGTGGTGGCGAGCTTTATAAAACAAAACAAAACAAAATACAGCATGCCTTTTAATATCGCTTTCACACGATGCAAGAGATTACCCTGCAGTATACCCACAATACAAACTTTAGGGGTACCTGTTTGTATATTTTTTTAATAACCCTAACCCTATTTCCTAATTTATTCCTACAGTTGGCGAAGATGAACTGATTAAAGATCTTATTTTAAGTCTATTGTTTTCATTATTTGTGTTGTTATTCACATTTTCATTTTAGGATACATGAACCTCATCTAAACAATCTGACAGGTCAAATGTATCATTAAGAGTGTAAAACATTAGCAGAAATGAAAACTTGAAGTTCCAGTTTATAGTATCATTTAAAGTTTAATATTGATCTCCACTATCCCATGTCCAGTTCTGCCTCATTAAAGGATGTAGAAACTTATCTTATACTGTGATTACACATATTTTTGAAGTCTAATCATCATAATAATAAATGTGATATATAAGGTGCAAAGAAAGAGGTCCTGTTTGTGACTCTCCTGTGAATGTACAAAATCCTACCACGTGATAACGACACTAACCAACACAGTCACGTGTTCTCAGTTTGCTCAAAGTTAAGTCTCGCCAGAAGAAACTGAAGAAATTATTAAATTAGTCTTAGCCCCGCACTTAAATGAGATTGAAATGATTATAATATTTATTTTCTATTTCCCATTATCTGACGTGCTGTGATGCAGGGGTGATTCTAGGATCAGAGATTTTGGGGGTGCTGAGCACCCAGAGAACTGCTCAGCCAGGCAAGATAAACTTTACTCGTCACAATGAGACTTCTTCCCTGTCTCTGTCAGTCCCTGCATCCTTAAATGTCTCCAGTTGTCCCAAGTTCCCTCTGACTGTCTCCTTGGTGCATTTAAACCCCTGTTCCTCCCTGTCCTCATCGTCTGTTGTCTTCATCTCCGTTATCAGTCATCATAATTTTACCATCTCTATGCAAGTCTGCAAATTTCTTTATTAAATCATAAGATTCTTAAATTCATCAAGTCTCTCTGTGCCTGGGTCCTCGTCACAAAACATGACATCACTGTTTTGTACATTTTAACACAATTTAATCCCCACATTTGCAAAACACTTTTTTAAAAGTCTGTGACAAAACCATCAAATCAGATAAAGGTTATTTAAATGCTGCAAAAGAAGAATGGATTGGAATTTAAAAAAAACAAACAAAAAAACACACACACACACACATCCTAACCTTAATTACTTTACTGGGGGAAAATGATGAATGATGATTATGGTGAGTAAGAAGTAAACTGAGTGCATTTTTTGGACAGAGATTCACTTTTAATGTGTATGTATAATACAATACAGATATATAAAAATACACTCCAAAAATAGAGTCATTGAAATGTACAAAATATTGATAAAAAAAAAAATATAAAAATGGAGGCAACTTTGCCTATGGTACAATGTATGAAAATATCTTTACTGCAGATACTACTATGGCTCTGCAGATTTATTTCTTTTATTTTAACCTATGTTGCCTCACCTTGAAGTTGGCAAATCTGTCTATCACTTTTTGGTGGTCAACTCTCTCAAGCAGTTTAACAGTTTCTGTTGTGCCTGTCACTATTCCCTGTCTGTTTTCCTACCTGGTTCTTCCTGACCTTGCCCTTTCTCCTCACGTTCCCCTCTTTCCTCTCTCCCTCTTTGGACTGACAATCATACACAAATAGATTGTATTCAATTAGATGAAAAAATGACATTAATATGAAAAAAAAATACTATTAAGATCACTAATAAAAAAAAAATCCTCTCTCAGTGTACTCTCAACCAAAAGGCAACCAAACCATATGTACATCTAATAAAAGATATAAATATTGAAACACTGATCCAACATTATCCTTTATTGACGGATCATTTGTTCTTACACTTTTACCTGGGTTTAATGTCGGCACATATGACAAAATAACCAGCTTCTCTCATTCCATTTAAAACAGGACAGTGGTAACAACTTTAGGCTACGGACAATTTTAAGTTTTAGATTTTAAATATACATTTCAATGGGAGCAACAGGACGGTCAAATGTCGCTGATTTTACTACAGAGCAGGACTGATTGTAGGGTAGAAAACATCGTGGAAAACACGTTTCCAACACTGCAGGTTACCTGGGTGAATCAGCTGAAAAGAAACATGTTCTGACTCCTACCTAACTATATAAAGAGTAACTGAAGGTTAAATGTAGCTAATATGTCCTGTTTTAAGCCAGGCACTTACACCTCTGCTCCGCTGTGTCTCAGCCACCATGCTCTGGCAGCAAGAGCGCTAGAGCCAGAGTAGGGGAGAGTAGTGATGGGTCGTTCGCGAACGAAATGGCTCTTAGAGCCGAATCTTTGACGTGGACGACGCGAGCCGGCTCCTTATCGCGAGCCGTCACGTGGGTTTGTTTTTCTTTCTCTGAGCCTCTCTCTCGCACTTTTTTTCGCTTCACTCAGCACGTGAGCCTTGTGCTTTACGCTGGGCAGAGGGGGGGCGGTAGTTACACTCAGTAGCACAGGAACAGAGCCAGAGAGAGAGAAAGAGAGGCAGGGACAACAACATTAGAAAGGTATAGTAATCATCCACAACTATTTTCGGTTGCAGATGATAAAGGATTCAGAAAGTTTATTCATGCAGGTCCATATGACAGAGAATGTGCATCTTCTGTTTGTTTTCATATTATAATTTATATTTAATTGTGTTGTGGTTTGCAGTGTTTTGTGTTCTTTTCACTTTAAATTTGTAAAAGGAAAAAGCTGAAAATTTAAATAGTTAAAAGTTGAAATGTGAATAGTTGATTTTTGTATTATATGATTTATTTATTACATTTTATATGGAGTGAATAAATAAAAGTATATTTACGGTGGCCCCAAGAGACAAAGCACATACAAACTTCAAATCACGTATGAACTCTGAAGCATGTACAAACTCCAAAACACGTAAAAACATGTACAAACTCCAAAACACGTAAAAACACGTACAAACTCCGAAGCACGTAAAAACTCCGAAGCACATAAAAACTCAAAACACGTACAAAAGACAACAGAAGTGCTCCAGGATGCTGGGCGCAGTGTTGAGCTTTTGTTATCTTGTGGCTACACAAGCCAGCAAGTACCAACGACCGGATTTGGTGTGTGGTAATAACAGGTAAATGAACTTTTTTTTAAATTATTTGAATATATATGAGTGCCTGTGTATAAATACACAAACAATACACACATGCTTTCAATTGTGTAATTTAAGTGATCTAGTAGCTCTGCTTTGGAAGTTCAGTTCATGCTAGAAATGTGTTTTGGAGTTTGTACGTGTTTTGTCTCTAGGGGCCACCGCATATATTTATATATAAACATTAGGGGTGCAACGATACACAAAATTCACGGTTCGGTTCGGTTCGATACTTTGGTGTCACGGTTCGATATTTTTTCGATACAAAAAAATGTTCATGCATTTTTAATTTGTCATTTATTAAAATTATAAATATATATTTTAACTCAAAAGTACAGTTTTTGAATTTAACCCTAACCCTTGTGCGTGTTTTTTATTTTGACAGCGAATGCGCACCTGCGGACCACTTATGTGCAGCCCTGGTTATTTAGCTCATCATATTGCAGCCACAGAAATTCTTTTGTCCATGAAACCATAAAGCTGCACTTTCTTTTTGCCTTATAGTCTGATTTGTCATAACTTCTCCGTTTTGTGGTAATCTTTTCTTTGGCTGTCACTTCTTCACCCTGACCTGTCTTATTTGGCTCAGCAGAACTGAAATGCTTTTACACACTCACTCACATAAGCTCAGCGATTCTCTGCGCGATCAACCTCTCACATGTTTAAGCTGCGGGAGATTTCACTTGTCATGTTTGCATAGTAAGCTAACGATTAATAAGACGATGTCAGAGGAATTGGTGCACAAATTATCATCACTCACAGATCAGTGCTGTCGCTCTCTATACACAGAAAGCAAAAAAACGAGCGCAAATTCAAACGCGACTTCAATATGTCACATATTGACAGTGGTTCACCGATGCCAATGACATAATTACCCAGCTACATTTCTGAAAGAATGCAAAAGCATTGACATATATTTTTCCTACAATAGCCCGACGGGCAGGGAAGAGATAGATTTTGGTAGCCCGACTGAAAAAATCGCTCCGGGACGTCGGGCTAGCGATATTGCAAGCCCTGTATCTGATTGAGGAATCACTCATCTTTGGAAAAGAGAGTTTATTACAGAGAAATGTCTCTTTCCAAAATAAAAGCTATACTATCCGCTTCTTCTGGGCTATATTCTCAGCAGCATAAGGAGAATCATGTGCTAACAGCGGTCTAAATGACTCGGCTAAAGTTAGTAGCATGCTTGCTTTTTTTTGTCTGCTTCCACTTGTCTTTGCACTACGATGATGTCGGCGTAAATGTGCAGTCATATTCGTTGTGTTCCCGCTAGTGCTTTCAGGTTAATCTCGTTGAAATTACCTTAACGCCACAACACGGCAAATTATCTATACTTTTGTTGTTAAAATGTTATGTCTCAACCAAATACTGTATGCTTTTTTTTTATTTTTAGTAGTGTGTCACACAAACAACAAATATTGTCAAAACAGTAAGAAATATTGGGGGGTGCTTTGATTCATTTTAGCCCCAAAATGGGCTAAAATCGCTGTGATGTTTTATCTGAAATTGTAAAACATCTGAACAATCATGATCCAAAACGGATAATATTCAAATATTAATTTTGAGGAAACTGCACCATGTTTTAGTTTCTTCTTTTCGTTTTGTCTTTTGATGAAATGGAAATGTTAAGTTTCGTTTTTCATTCGTGACCTATAAAAACAGGAAGTGTGCCGCTCTGACCGTGTCAGTGTTAGGGTCATGGAAGCAGTACCACAAGAGCAACGGAGAAAGCGGAACTCCGTAAACATGCGTGTCGGTGAGTATTTTAATACACGTATTACTTTAAAATAACTATACTCATGTGTTTAATGGTGTGACGGTGCCATGATGATAGCTAATGTTAGTGCTGATGTGAGCTTTGATGTTGTGTTTCAGGGACGATCGCTGCTGTTGTAGGGGGAGCAGGTAAGGCTTTGGACTGTCTGTGTGGTCACCGGGGTTCAACCTACCCACGGTATCTCTCTGTTATGTTGATCCACTACCCTGCAGTCAGGAGAAGCGGTCACACAAAGCTGGGTGTCGGCTTGATAAGCTAACCCAGGGCTTGATTGGGGCTGACGCAAGGATGGATTTTGGCAGCATGTAAACAATTTGCCACCAACACGGAAAAGAAAAATGTTAAGGAATAAAGTGAAGTGTAAGAATATAGATTTATTACTGATGCGCATCAGGGAAAGCACCAAAACTTTAGAGTTTTGAAAAACTTTAGTCCGTCCTACTGTCTGCACTCCGAGGTCTGAGGGATTTTCTATGAATAGTGACGCTATTTTCAGAAAACTGAGTAGTTAGCAGGCGTTGTTTCATACCTGCTGATCGTTAATCATAACTTGAACCCTGTGTGCGCCATTGTAATTACAATGTAATTACACACTCTCACACTCTGCTGTGTTCAGTATCTGTATAATGTTTTTAACCTCTTCATATTTTTTGTATAGTTTTCTCTTTCTTTGTAAAATCAGCCCTTGAGCTGCCAGCACGCTTACACTTCCCAACAGCACCAGCCCTTTTACGTGAGCGAGCAGGGTGAACCCTGGATACACTCAGTTTCTTTGATAACAGCTTCATGTGACCACTTATCTGGATCAAATCCAGATAACTGAAAGATACCAGCAACCTTATTTTAACATGTAAAGTGAGCCCAGGATAAGATGTAATCCTGCCTCGTACCTCAGGCCTCTGCTTATATAAAAACTTTTTACATGGCATATCATTTGTAACAGTCACACTGATGCTGGTGTTCTCGTCCATGTGCAGTCGGTGCAGTGGCCTTGGCTCCTGTTGCTCTGGGGGCCGTAGGTTTCACCTCAGCTGGAATAGCTGCAGGCTCCTACGCTGCAAGCATGATGTCTGCTGCTGCGGTGGCTAATGGAGGTGGAGTGGCAGCAGGAAGTGCAGTGGCTGTTTTGCAGTCAGCAGGTAGGCTTGTCTGACTTTACTATAGTCTCATTAATAGTGCTGTACACATTCACTTTATTAGGAACCAAAGCAAAGGTGACCTTTGCTCCTGTTGGTGGTGACCAGTAAATGGCTCGTAAAACTCTGGCTACTCAGGGACTGAAATACAAATGACTGATAACATATTTACAAATGATTCAGCTTAAAGCCTATTTACAGACTTAAATGGAGACGGCCTTAGTGTCAATAAGATCAGTTAATTGTTCCAGCCTGTGTTGTGTTACAGGACTAAGCTTGTGGTGCGATTAGACTAAGGACTATAATCCTGCCACACTTTGAACTCTTTTATTATAAAGTGTAGTTTTATTGCCCTTGCACTGAGTATTGTCCACATATACAGACATCACATTTTGGGATGTCTGGACCAAAATACTAAATCTTGCTCTACAAGGGCCTGATATCTGCTTTCGAGGACATTATACTGCCACTGTTCTATCAAAATTTAAAATGAATGTCCTCATATGTGGACATATGTGGATCTCATTTTTCTCAGAAACAAAAATTCGGTAAAAAAAAAAAAAATCTGGTAATTCTTTGTTTTTAAATTCATCAGGTCCCAATCAACCCAAATAGCAAAGAAAAATTAAAAATGCATGCCATGAAGGAGTTCGGGTCTTAGGAGATTAAAAGGGACTTGAACATGAGTGTGCAGCTGGCAGAGCCACAGAAAGGACATGTTGCAGTTATGTCAACACTGACCCAGTTCTGATAAGTTTGCCAATAGTTTTGAACAGAGGTGGGACCAAGTCATTGTTTTGCAAGTCTCAAGTAAGTCTCAAGTCTTTATCCTCAAGTCTCAAGTCAAGTCTCAAGTAATGTCAGACAAGTCAGAGTCGAGTCTCAAGTCACTGGTGTAAAAGTCCGAATCAAGTCACAAGTCTGAAACTTTGAATTTCAAGTCCTTTCGAGTCTTTAAAAAAAACAAACGAAAAAATAATGTTGCAGTTATATGCTAAATGTAAATATTAGACCATGTAATTTTAAAATCTGTTTTTCTCAACACATACAAAATAGTGAACTTAGAAAATATACACAAATTGTGAAATTGCACCTCTTTAAAATGCAGCTCAATTAAACCTAGCTCCAAGAATAATTTTCACCGACAGTTCTGAGATAAGCTGCATGTTATTCTTGGATGCGGTTGTAGGACCGGCTTTAAAATCGCATGACAAAAATATCATACACATTAAAAAAAACTGTATCACCAACGTAGCCTGGACAACATTTGCTAGTTAGATGAAGTCAGCTATCTCATCTTAGCATATTTATATGCATATTTATAATTATACGGTTCTTGGAGTGAGTGCATACACTCATGAAGTTTAGTAACTTCAGGTCACTGCAACAAGCCCAGGTACAGTTTACCGACGGATGGGTGCAGGACCTTGAAATGCACCGTGTAGAACGAAAGACCATCGTACGTATCATAAGTTTACCAGTCTCACAAATCGTCTTCATAAATACACATTCGTTAACCGTTTATTAATAGGACCTTTGAGCTCAACGGTAATTAATTAGTAGTGGAAATAATTTCTGGTAGCATCACAGAAATGTAGCAGTGACAATAATACTGTATGCTGTAATCGTACTGGGCAATTAGTGATACAAAAAACCTGTTTTATCCTGTGAATAAAAGTATATGTTTTTGTCAATGTACCATAATAACAGAAGCGAAACGCAATATTGTGTCAGGACAATTTACTATTTATGCACAATAAATAAAGGAGCATAGCGCGACAATTTCTGTTCAGCGCCAGACTTGCTTGTAACCTATATCACCAGTTATGTTAAGAAAAATGACGCATTAACTACAACAGCAGACTGACCTTCGTGTAAATGCTTGGAGCAGACTAACCTGTGAGCTGGAGTGTTCTGGGACGTTATATTTGATCTTTGAATGGCTGCAATCCAGGCCATCCGTCGCCTCTTTGTTACTTCGGAAACATGGCTCGAACAATTTCTCTTCAACGACGTAATCCGATAACAACCGATCTCTTTACCCGTCGGCTTCCCGTGGCTGTCATGCGACCGGCTATTGCAGTTAATAATACAACAGCTTCTTGACATTTTTGTGTTTCTTTTTATCGCTGTGTGACTGATTTCAATTGAAAGCCTGCTGCGCTAGTACCGCTTGCCACGAGTTCCCAGAATCCTTTGCGGTTCTACCCGTGAATGACGTCACATTTTCAATCTCTATATAATATGCATGTTAAATTTTATATTTGGGGTGAAATATCAAGTCTTTTCAAGTAAACCGGTTCAAGTCCAATTCAAGTCCCAAGTCATTGGTGTAAAAGTCCAAGTCAAGTCACAAGTCTTAGAACATTTTTTCAAGTCAAGTCTAAAGTCATAAAATTAATGACTCGAGTCTGACTCGAGTCCAAGTCATGTGACTCGAGTCCACACCTCTGGTTTTGAATCCATGCCGCAAAGAACTGGGGCTGTTTTGAGAATCAAGAACTGTGTATTAGTGTACAAGCCATAGGACATTGTTTAGTTTATGAAATCTGACACCACTGAGGGGGCAGTGATGCCACAATTAGGTAGCAGTCAGTACAGTTAGTTTGATTCCTGATAAAGTTATTGGCAATCTCAGCTGCTTGACTTGGAATATTTGTCCTCATTCCTCCCAAAGGTGCAGCCGGGCTGTCGGGGGCTGCCACTGCGGCTGTGGGCGGTGTTGGAGCTGCTGCAGGAGCAGGACTGAAATGGCTAGGAGGTCTCATTTTCAAGGACAAAGAAGACGATGAAGACGATGAAGACAAAAATAAGTAAAGTAAAAATTTAAATGATCTCACGTGGAAAATTTTAATGATATTTGTTGGCACAAGATATTAAACAAGAGTGAAGAGTTGTCATTTTTAAAGATGTGCTGTACATTTGTCGCTCTTACAGCTTTGCCACTGATCATTTCAGGTGTAGGAATGGAAACTCGCCATACCCGAGGCTCCCTGAACTGTCCTCACACTTTGCCTGAAGGCTGTGGATTCTGATGATGTCATTCTGATCATTCCTTTTGTGCCTCTGGGTGACTTTTTCTGTGCACGCTGGTATAATATTAGTGAACTACATATGACTGAAAAGCATGACTGTTTTTAAGCAAGTGTGGATTTTTTTTTCTCCTACATCTTCTAAAATTTGTATCTCAATCAATGATCTAATTGCAGGAAATCCTAATTCTAAAATTCTGAATGGTGTTGTTGCCACTGTCCTCACTAAGATAAAGCTAAACTTTGGTAAGAAAGTCTGGTTAAATTCTTTTAACATTCAGTTATTTGGATTTCCTAAAACCTTCTACCCATTTCCATAATCCTGCCTGCAGATCAGCTCAGTGCATCAACTATGAGAAAACTTTCTTTGGAAAATATTGTAAACTGTCTAGAAACTCTTCATTTATTTACTTTAGTCTTTAACAAGAGCATTTTGACCAGTTTCAAACATCTTCACCTCTCTGCACTTCTTTCTGGCAGTAGAATTGTTAAATGTTATTACTCACTACAGTTAGCTAACTATTTATTATTAGCTCAAAATGACAAGTGGTTGAGGTTTTTTTTGTTTTTTTGTTTTGTTTTTTACAATCATTGTTTTATGTTTAAAATACTTTGCGAACACTTCATTAAACATAAAACTGCATTTATTTTTTGGCAAATTCTATGTAATATATCAAAAATAAAAGTATTTATTCTGCAGTAATCGGTGTTACATGGATCAGTATTACTGCTGCAGGTGATATTGTTAACTATCAGTGTCTACAATGAGATTAAAAATTAATGAAAAATTAACCAAACAGCTGGTTAAATTTTCTACAAGTGATTTCTCAGAGATGTTGGTCTGAAAGTGCTGATGGAGGCTACAGCTGTTCAACTTGCCTGCCTTATGAAGTCATATATGACAGGGGTTCCCCTCTCCATCATCACAGCTTTTATTACTAATGTGCTAAATAAGTAAAAAAAAAAAAAAAAAGGTTCATATATCACACGTGTTGGTCCAGGTCTTTACGAAGATAAAACTAATTATGATGATAAATAAGGGTACTTGTTTACTTGCTAATGCTAGCTTTGTTTCCACGCAATACACAACTTGTAGCTGATCTCAGGGATTTCCACAACATGGATTTATGCACAAACAATCAGCTACAAGCTGCTGTCCTCTTAGCTTGACAAGATCCAGCCATGATTAACTGGGCACAGATGTTGATTAGGACACCTACCATATATTGATTTCAGTAGCTCTATAATCAAGCAGTGTCAAGTCTACTTTCAGAGACAATAGCCAACTGTGGCCATAGCATGGCAGTGATGTAAAGGATGGACGCAGACAGTCATGAGTACAGCTTTATGACAGAATGCTGTTTGCGCTGAAACAAGAGTGATTGCTTTACTTTGGTATACTTTAACTGATGTCTGTTTTTTTACATTTAACTGGACAAACATTGTTTGCCTTGCTTGGCCTGACATAATACCATGAGACTCTCTTCACAAAGCATTTTATTTACCCATCTTCTGCAAATTCTCCAACAAACAACATTTCCCACTCTTAAGATAATTAAAATTTATCTGAATAGATATTTACTGGCATTTGGCAAAGAAGAGGTACACACAAAGCTAGTGTTAGCTTTCGACAGGAAGGTTTATTCTTCCTCAATAAGATTATTCTAATAATGCTGATAAAACTAGAAACAAAAGCACAGCTCTATTCAGTATTTTCCAATGACGAACACATGTACCAAAAAAACAAAAAACTGCTTTATCACTTTATCACAGCACCTGACTCAGGTAAGGTTTCTGATTAACACTGCTCTCAAATGAGATTATGACTATAATGAAATGACTATGATATTTATTTTCCATTATCTGTTGTGCTTTGTTTAAATGTCAAAAATCACTGGGAAAAGCTTTAAATAATTTATCTTTTATATGTGATTTAAAAACAAATCTGAATTGCAAAACATCTGAACAACCATGCAATATACATAAACGGAAATGTTAAGTTTGTTTTTTCATGTTACCATAGAAATACCGGAAGTGTCTCCGTGGCAGAGTCAGTTGAGACTGTCACTATACGATACGCAAACATAGAAAGCGGAACTCCGTAAACATGGGTTTTGGTGAGTATTTTAATACACGTATTACTTTAAAATAACTATACTCATGTGTTTAATGGTGTGACGGTGCCATGATGATAGCAAATGTTAGTGCTGATGTGAGCTTTGGTGTTGTGTTTCAGGGACGATCGTTGCTGTTGTAGGGGGAGCAGGTAAGGCTTTGGACTGTCTGTATGGTCACCGGGGTTCAACCTACCCACGGTATCTCTCTGTTATGTTGATCCACTACCCTGCAGTCAGGAGAAGCGGTCACACGAAGCTGGCTGTCGGCTTGATAAGCTAACCCTTGATTGGGGGCCTGTGCTTCGTACCGCGCTAAGTGAGTTAGCTGGATTTGATTGTTGACGATTTCGCGTGATCCTGGATCGTTCGGTTCCCCGAAGCCCATCCGGGACTTGCTGTCATAGCAACAGAGCCGTAAGCGTAAACCTGCTGGGGAGCAGGTTTACTTTATGTAAACAGGATTAGATCGCGGCCACACAGGTATGTCCGCGTCATTCATACGAAAGCAACAGCGATATTCCACCACTGTTTCACCATAAATAAATAACATCAATGTAACTAAAGATAATGCAGCACTTGATCCTTTTATTGATGTCACACAGATACATACAGGTCATTCCCTAAAAAAGGGAAATGTACTATTAACATTCTATTACATGTATGTGATTATTACAGATGTAATTCATATTTCAGAGTAGTAATTGTAAATTACTTCGTGTAATCAAGATGAGAGACCACGGCTATAAAAGCGAAGGTGGATTTGGGAAGTCTGTCGCAGTCATATCCTGTCCGTTTACGCGAGCAGCCCATTGCGGAAGGTGCAAGATTGATAAGGAGAGTTTTCAGAATTCAGCGTATATTGCGGGACAGACAGGATCCTTTAGCTCAGCGCGACAGTGTGCTCATAGAGAGATATCGATTTTCCCGTGAGGGTATTATTTACTTAACCAACTTGTTGACGAGGGGGTGCAGGACCACCACCTGTCTTTTTTTTGCTCTGCCCTTTTCTTGGTTGCTGTTATGAACAAACAAACAGAGTATTCCAGGGTCTCTTTCCAAGAGACGACAAGCAATATAAGTGATAAATATTACCATTCTGTAGAATATTCTTATATTTCACTTTTACTTGTTCCCATGTTCTAGTGGGTCCTGTTGTGGCTCTAATGTGAAAGGGGATATAATATAACATATTATAATATAATATAATGTAATATAATATTGGATAATATGGTGTGATATGATAAATCTACCCTACCGCCTACTGGTGTTGGCCAGAGGGGCCGATGGCGCGATATGGCAGCCTGGCTTCTGTCAGTCTGCCCCAGGGCAGCTGTGGCTACAACCGTAGCTGCCTCCACCAGTGTGTGAATGTGAGAGTGAATGAATAGTGGCATTGTAAAGCGCTTTGGGTGCCTTGAAAAGCGCTATATCAATCCACTCCATTATTATTGTTATTATTGAATTACTTACGAGTTTGATTTGTCAGCAACTTCCTGCCAGCCCTCTCTCCTTGCTTTTGCAGCCTTTGCAGTGTTCCCTTGCGTTTTAATTAAACTCTGAAACTCCTGAAATCCCTCACTCAAGAGTTCTTGCTCTGCTGCCGAAAAATACCGAGCGCGCTCCTTCGACATTTTCGCCGACCAATCAAAGGGTTGCCGATCAATGTTTCTACTATCGATGCGTAGCCCCTGTTGGGCCACCCAGTGATCTCACATTACTTCATCCAGCTATACTAATCGTCAACAACAGGTGTGTTCGGGGAACCGGAATAGCGAGCTCAGAGTTAGCGCGATGATTTGGTCTTGGATGTTTCATTTGATCTTGGATGTAGTAAGCGACGTACGAAGCACAGGGCCTGGGGCTGACGCTTGACAGGGATTGTTTTTGGCAGCATGTAAACAATTTACCACCAACAGGGAAAAGAAAAATGTTAAGGAATAAAGTGAAGTGTAAGAATATAGATTTATTACTGATGCTCCTCAGGGAAAGCACCAAAACTTTAGAGTCTTTTGAAAAACTTTAGTCCGTCCTACTGTCTGTACACCGAGGTCTGGGGGATCTTCTACGAATAGTGACGCTATTTTCAGAAAACCGATTAGTCAGCAGGCGTTGTTTCATACCTGCTGATCCTTAGTCATAACTTGAACCCTGTGTGCGCCATTGTAACTTATGCTCTCAAATGAAATATAAAGATTATGCATGAAATCACCACCTACTGACCAATACATCATCCAGACAATAGGGTCACTGTTCATAGAAAGTCCCCCAGACCTCTGTGTGTGGACAGTAGGAGGATCTAATGTTTTTGTGTTCGTTTTTCCCTGATGTCATTAATAAATGTAGATCTTTAGATACAACTTTATTACTTTACGTTTTCCTGTTGGAAGCAAATGTTTTACAACATTTTCTTTGTTCTCCAGCAATAATACATGATTGTGAAACAGGACACAAACTTGTACTTGCTGACCTTAATTATAATCATCAGATTCTCCAGTGCCTCAAACACAGAACTGTGATATTGAATCTATAAACTTACACAGCTTTTCTGGCTTCAAATAGGCCAGACTTTATTCATATAATGTGTATTTTCCAGTCATGCTGTCCAAAGTGCTTAGAGGGCACAAACATTCATACAGCACTTTTAATACTAAACTACTGTAAAGTACTTTTTCCTCTCACACTTACACTTGACAACAGCACCAGCCCTTTTACGTGAGCGAGAAGGGTGAACCCTGGATTAACTTAATTTGTTTCATAACAGCTTCATGTGACCACTTATCCAGATTGCCAGTGTTGGGGTAAGTGAATCCAGATAACTGAAAGATACCCTCGATATGCTAAACTTGCTTTAACATTTAAAGCGAGCCCAGGATAAGATGTAATCCTGCCTCGTACCTCAGGCCTCTGCTTATATAAAAACTTTTTACATGGCATATCATTTGTAACAGTCACACTGATGCTGGTGTTCTCGTCCATGTGCAGTAGGTGCAGTGGCCTTGGCTCCTGTTGCTCTGGGGGCCGTAGGTTTCACCTCAGCTGGAATAGCTGCAGGCTCCTACGCTGCAAGCATGATGTCTGCTGCTGCGGTGGCTAATGGAGGCGGAGTGGTAGCTGGAGGCCTGGTGGCTGTTTTACAGTCAGCAGGTAGGCTTGTTGTCTGACTTTACTGTGGTTTCATCAATAGTGCTGTATACATTCACTTTATTAGGAACCTACAGTGGCCCTGAGAGGCAAACGGACCTCAACTTAAGAAAACAGCAGCAATAAGAAAAACACTGCAAAAGCACACAAAACACAACGGAAATAGGAAAAAACAGATTTCCGAAAGCACAAGGGAAGTGTTTCTGGGGAGACAATAACCCGACGGACGAGTTGCAGGAACCAAAAATATACTAAGAATTGGGCTGGGAGACACTTAAAAGAAGTGGAGTATCTCTCAGTTTTGTGAGGAAAGAAAAGATTAGAGGTAAGTGTGTTAGCCTAACTATTAGCCTAAAAATCCGTCATCAGTATTAGTTTTGTGTGCTTTTGTAGCGTTTTTCTTATTGCTAGTGTTTTCTTAAGTTGCAGTCCGTTTGGC